ACAATGTCACAGTGAAATTTTCAAAAGCTAAACATTTGGTTGCAAGAAAGGTTTATTGCTCCTTAAATCGTATAATTTCGTATGGCAGTTCTGTTACCTGTCAGTATGTTACATGCTAACTTAATAAATTATGCCACTGCCAGTGGCCGCTGCATGCAGTCTGTGGTGATAGTATGGTGTACCGTTTTGCCTGCGCTTAATTAGGGTCATGGTGGCAGCCCATCATCTATGTCAGACCTGATAGGCTGTGTCAGCGTAACATGGACGAGTGCTTACCTATTCCTCCTTGCAATTAGTGTTACTATCACTACGTACGATGGAGCCGTCCAGCGCTACCAACGTACGCGCCATCGTCGTGCGCAACTTCATCAACGATCCCAACGAACATTTCTCCGAGAAGGCTCCTGATACCATCCCACGTTGTTTGAATAAGGGCTATCCGTATGTTCCGTACTTGTCGCATTTCCACAGGAGGACAAGTAGCATATATTCAGGTAGCTTGCTGCTGGACAAAGCAGCTTTTTTAGAGCAATTTTTCAAAACATAATTTTCTACCATCGCGGCCCGCTGCTGGTACCCGAGTTACATAGTATATAACATGGGCTGCCCAGAGTGGCCAGGCCCGAATATTAAACATACTATAGTATAAACATCTTATGTGAAGTTATAATATAAAAACGCTTAACCGCCTGCTAGCTCCACGAAACGTTGTTGGCTAGGTTAGAAGACCATCGAGCAATCATCTGATAGACAACAGACGTCTGTAAGACAATCAGTCGTACAGCCTCGTCCCGTGCAGCGCTACCGCCTCGAGAAAGAGAGAAATTGATGAGAAGAGTGGGAGAGAGACGAGCGAGCGGGCAAGAGAGGGAGAGAGAGAGAGACGAGAGAGAGAGGAAGAGACCGGGGAGAGAGAAAGAGCGGAAGAGAGAGAGGAGAGAGAGAGCGAGAGAGCAGAGCAGAGCAGAGCAGAGGAGGAGAGCTGAGAGAGAGAGAGAGAGAGAGAGAGAGACGAGAGAGAGAGAAAGAAGAGAGAGAAGGAGCCCCAGCGGCGAAGGAGAGAGAAAGAGTGAGCAGAGAGCGAGAGAAGAGGAGAAGAGAGAGAGAGAGAGGAGGCGAGGGGACGGGGAGGGGGGAGGGGAGGGAGGGAGGGGAGGCGAGGAGGGAGCGGGCCGTCGGCGAGGGCCGCGGGCCGGGGGGCCCTGCCAGACGGTGCCCCGGGGGGCGCAGCTCGCCGCGGCGGCGCCCGCGACGCGGCAACGCCCGCTCGGGCGAAAGCCTCTGCCCGGCGCCCCGCCCCCCCTCGCGGGCCCGGCGCCGAGCAGGCGTGCTCCGCGGGGGGGCGGGCAGCGGCATCCCGCGCGGCGCGCCACGTGCACGGGCGCCAGAGGGGGGGGCCCCGGTGGCGGGGGCGCCGGCCCCCGCGGCGCTGGGGGGAGAGAAGAGAGCGGAAGAGAGGAGAGAGGGAGGAGAGAGAGGGAGGAGGAGGGAGGGAGAGAGAGAGAGAGGGGAGGGACGAGAGAGAGGCGAGAGAGAGGAAGGAGAGAGAGAGCAGAGAGAGAAGATGAGAGAGAGAGAGAGACCAGAGCGCGCGGAACACGTGAGGAGGAGAAGAGAGAGGGAGAGAGAGAATGAGAGAGAGAGAAGCGCGCGAAAGAGTGAGAGAGAGAAAGAGAGAGAGAGAAGAGAGAGGAAAGAGAGAGAGGAGAGGAGGAGACGACGAGAAAAAGACAAATAAAGAGGAGAAGACAAACGAGGGCAGATGAGTGTGAACGAGCGAGAGAGAGAGGAAGAGAGAGAGACGAGAGCGTGAAGCAGGAAGAGAGAGCAAGGGACAGAGAGAGTAGAGAGCAGAGAGAAAAAGAGATGAGAGAGAGAGACGAGAGATGAGAAGAGATGAAGAGAGCAAAAGCAAGTGTGTGATCTCCAGCGAGAGAGAGAGCCTGGATCGAGCGAGAGAGAGGCGAGAGAGGAGCAGCGCGAAGGCGAGAGAGAGCAAGAGCGAAGAGCTCGAAAGAGAAAGATATGAGAGACAACGCAGGGAGACGAACGTCGCGACGAGGGACTGCTTCTAATATAGACGTTTTATCGGCAGGGTGGAGAGGAAATACCAATTTTGCATTAAAGATATTGTCAATGAAATCTTGTAGAACGAACCAGACGAGTGTGACACCACAGACTGTTATCTGCGTGTCTATACAATATGCTATATAATTGCCAAAACCTACCTAATTTGCATTTTTTTTTTTTAAATATCAAAACTCCTGTAATACGTTTTGGGGCCAGCCCTTATTCATTCACATACCAAAAATGAGCAAAATCTGTTGAACCTGAACTGACTAATGGCAATTTCCATTTTTGCCAAAAAATTGCCGTGGCTCAAAAGTACGTCAACTGGCATGCTCCAAAATAGGACATTCAAACCTCTCCCATAGCAGTAACAACTATACCCAATTTCAAACATGTGGGTCAAACGGTTCCTGAGTTATCGTTGAACGTAGCCAAATGTTGACGGAAGGACGGACGGACGTACGACGGATGACGCCCCATGGCAATAGCTCATCTTGACGATGTCAAGGTGAGCTAAAAATCATGTAAATATTTGCGTTAATTGGAAAAAAATAGTTAAATGGATAAAGATAAAAAAATACAGAAAACAGGAAAATAATTACAAAACAGATGGGATTCGATCCAACGACCTTTCAGCCGTGATGCTCGTGCTCTACGCGTTCGGCTATTGAGGCTTATTGGGTTTATAGATTATGGATTTGCCATGAATATGAAAACACTGTGACGTCATTGATGCAGTTGAGGAATCCATGTTTAACCCTCCTCTTGAGGGTCAAAAGGTTATCAGACACTTACTCTTCGCACGTCAGTTGAAAGCACATTTCATGGTCCTTTCAATAGTGATAAAAATGGTAGGTCAGCGCTAAAAAAAAAAATTTCCGCTGTCCATTAGGCCATGTCTTCAGAAAATGTTTGATATCTGACCTTTCCCCCACTGTCCTTTGACCTGTGACCTCCAATTTCGCACTGGTGATGGGTTTCCTGCCCATCACACTATACACCGAATATTAAGAGAATAGGTTGAGCCGTTCAGATTTGTGCCGCAATTCCGTATTTCCTCCTATACCTTAAGTTAGAGGGGAAAATATTCCCCCTCCGTTTACACATCTTGACCTTTGACCCTTGACCCCCCAAATTTGTCATCCTGAGTCAGAGATGCCAACACATATTTGAAGCAATCTGTAGTTTCTGGCCATCACATTAGTAGTTCGAGGGTCACGTAGTGACCCGAGTTTGCTAGGGAGATCCGGCATGCCCCCCGGAAAAATTGTTGATTCTGAGATGCAATTTCCTGCATTCTGGGGGTCAAAAATGACAATAAATTGACAAAAAATGACAATAATTGACAACAACAAAAAATTTTCGATCACAGTGAAATTCGTAGTTTGATACAAACTGGTCGTAGTTGTGTAAAAGGAATAGAAATTCGTATAAAATACGGATAAATCGTAGCGGTTGGCATCTCTGCTGAGTCCTTTTTACGATCCCCCCCCCCCCCGACGTCCCGAATATCGTGACCGTACATCGAGCGGTTAAGATTTGCATGTGCCCAACTGTTGACTGACGGACGCACGGACATTCATGCGATTCTACAAGCTGAGCTAAAAATATTACATTTAGCCAAATTAAGTCTCATCTGTTAGCATACGCATTACTGATTACTTCAGCACAAAACATTACTACAAGTTTGTACTGTTATAGGCAACAAAACAGCAAATCAACATTAAACTTGTGCCAACAAGCTTGAGGTTCCCAAAAATGAAATATGAAAATGCTGCCACAAAATAAGTGCATGTGTGTACGTGATGCAAATAATTCTAGACTAGTACCCTATCTCGAAATGCAGGAAAGGTCGGACTCGCGAGAGTGAGAATCATGTGCTAGTGATGTTGACATATCTAAACAAATCAAGGGTGAAATGCATATCGGCACACATCATTATGTGTGATAATGATGTGTGAATGCTCTATGACACATACTATACACACTTGGTGTTACACAAGGAGTACCATTAAGTATTAGAATGGTCAAGTAAATCCTAAAATTGTTGGTATAACACGATAAATGCTTGCTTCAAACACACATTGAAGCACAGGGGTAGAAATTAACTTTTGAACAAGGGAGGACTCCCTGCCCTCAAAAAGAGGGAGTCCGCAGCAAAATGAGGGAGTCCGCAGCAAAATGAGGGAGTCCGCAGTCTGAAGTTCAAAACTAAAGATATTAACAATAACGCGTGTGCTTATTTTGAATATTCATGCTGTTGCACGTCTGCCAAATTGTCTTCGGACATTTGCTGAAAAAATACGGCAATTCCGCGAGGCCATGCTCTGGAACGAAGTAGTTAGTATAGCAGAATTTTCAGGGAGTCACACGGACTCCTGCATATGTCAAATCAGGAAGTCCGACAGAAAATCAGGGCATCAAGCAACATAATAATTTTTATCAATAATGATGTGTGCCGATATGCATTTCACCCTTGATTTGTTTAGATATGTCAACATCACTAGCACATGATTCTCACTCACGCGAGTCCGACCTTTTCTGCATTTCGAGATAGGGTACTAGTCTAGAATTATTTGCATCACGTACACACATGCACTTATTTTGTGGCAGCATTTTCATATTTCATTTTTGGGAACCTCAAGCTTGTTGGCACAAGTTTAATGTTGATTTGCTGTTTTGTTGCCTATAACAGTACAAACTTGTAGTAATGTTTTGTGCTGAAGTAATCAGTAATGCGTATGCTAACAGATGAGACTTAATTTGGCTAAATATAATATTTTTAGCTCAGCTTGTAGAATCGCATGAATGTCCGTGCGTCCGTCCGTGCGTCCGTCAGTCAACAGTTGGGCACAAATCTTAACCGCTCGATGTACGGTCACGATATTTGACTCCGGACTCGCGTTAATTTCGCACCCTGGAAGCACTACCTTAATAGTGACATCTTCTGTGCCAAGACAGACAGTGGCCTTGATGCTGGGATGATTCTCAGCATCGACATGGCACTCCATTACAGCTCTCATAGAGTTCTGCAGTGAGAGAACAAAACAATCTCTAGGCATAAGCACACACGCACATCAACCATGAAATTGCACATCGCAGTAACCACTGAAGTTTAAAAAAACCATTTAACTCGGTGTGTGCTCGAGCCACTGCCACATACAGCAGTGTTCAGAGTAGCTCATACAGCATGTGACAGAAATGCATTATTCAAATATCAATCGACAATTGACAGTGTGGACTGAATACTGAGCACTGAAGCAATGACAATGTTTTAAAATTTCCACTTTACGTTGAATTTTCACCCAGAACATACTTTGAAAAGCTCAAACAGGATGTGATACAAATGCGATGGGACGTAGCACATTTCAATGACTTGTGGAAGGGTGCTTCCTGAAAGTGAAGAGAACAAATATTATACAATGTGATTCAATCATGGTAGTTTTTCGCTTCCTCTTTTCATCCCTTTCATCGCTGAACCCTCGCGAGCATGCATACAAATGAGTTACATGGTAATGGAGGTTACTAACCATTGTTCATGTTAATTTCCAGATCAGGTGAATCCATATAGTACTGGTCACAGAGAAACCTTGCATTGTCATATGCATCTATCAACATAATCCAAAAATGTGAAAAATGTAAGAAAATTTCAAAAGCAGTCAGAAATAATAAGTTGACTAACTATTGAGTTAATTAAAGTTAAACTAGTTAAAACTATTAAGTTATGCCATAAGCCACTGCTTCACTGTGACTCACTTTTTGCATTTAAGACTACAGTTTTTTTCCTTAGTGAGATATCACAAATATTTATAAAGCACTGATAGCACTGCACAATTTTCGTAAGAATGGAAGCATAAAAACATTTTACATAATAATGGCACCTAGCAGAGCTGCTATCACAATGCTAAAATATGTGGACTTGCCTTTTAAAACTCCAACTACATTACAACTAGGGTCTATACTGCCAATGTGCTTGCTTGGGCTTACAATGTTCTTGCCAAATAATAGACCTGAAACAAAACAATGGCAAATAAATAAATGATCAGCCAACCACTATATCAGCTAACAAACACATAGATCCAAGTCACTTTTGCATGCCATGCAGGCATGTGTATAGCACCTCCGGAGCACTCGTCACATTGGGCAATTGAATCATACGAAGCAGAGTGAGGTTTAATCAGAGCAGCAATCGCCAACAGGTCACGGACTACTCGCCGCCACTTACTATGTTGGTTGATGAGCATCCGGATTCCTATGCGACTCATGTAGAGGCGATCCAGAAAATACTGGATGCTGTTCTCTGTCGTGTTATCAAAGCCATGACTATCCCGCATCTCCATAACGCCCTGTAAACGCACACAGCACCCTAGAGCATATAGCGACAACACACACACAAGGACAACATGAATAACAGTTTCCACTGTTCCTTTCACCTCCCCTACAAGCCTGCAATAACTTATGGCACAATCTCACAACCTTTCATAACCTATCACTCACTATAACAACCTGCCACAATATTTCCTCACTTCATAGTCTTCTACAACACCCCCCTCACTGTCTTGTAGCACCACAAACTGTTCCTCATATGCAAACTAAGAAAATTCGCATATCGGAGAGCAGACCAAATGTTGATGCAGTTTGCTGTGTACAGGGAAACTTTGGATGTTAGGTATGCACTTGTAGGACAAAGCAACATTCTTGGTGGCAAAGTGGGCACATTGTCTACTACAGATAAATTATCAATTACGTGTCTACACACAGAATTAACCTGATAAGAACTACAAACCTGAGCCATGGTTTCTACTACGCTCCTGTGCCGATCCTTCACCCTGTCTAGCGTTTCACAAAACCTGCATTGAAAATGTAAATCTCTTATAGTATCGCAATAATTAAATCACACCACATGGTAGACAGTACACATCTATGTGCTATATACAGGCATTATTTGTTTGTACTTACAATTAGAGCTATTCATATAAAATATTTATCATTAAAAATTACTTTTTATGACGTCAAAACGTCAACATGTCAAAAAAAAAAGTATACCACAGTTAAATCTCTTAATACTGACCACCCTCGGTACCATCCATTTAGTTCAGTTCTCTGTGAATTTCAGTCTATAGGGGGGAATCTTATGTGTCTCAGATGGTGTGAAGTGGGCAACGAACGCTCATTAAGTATAATATATTATAGTATACTATATTATAGTAGGCACAATAACGGAGATTATTTATTACAAGGACAAGACACACGTACTTCATAAACTTTTCTTAGGATAAAATTTCCAATTAAGACCATTACCGATTCAAGTCATCCTCATTGTCACCTTCCACTTTTACGAATGTGACAAGATCGGCAAAGCTCTGAACATACCTGCAATTAATATGATGATACTATCACTGACAATTCAATTTCATATTATTCGTATGGATTTTACTGTGATCAATTATAAATTACCTACAGTAGCAGCAGCGTGGGTACGTGCCTTTAATAGAGGGTCTATGTCCCCCGGGGTACTGCCGGAACGTAACCTGGGTACAGTCCGGTATACCGAAACAGACCCTGGTACTATCTAATATGCCGGACCGTACCTCGCCTACTCCACTAACGAGTCTAGGGAGTCGCCTACGCCTACTCCCTAACCCTAATCCTAAACCTAACCCTAACCCTACTCCCTAACCCTAATCCTAAACCTAACCCTAACCCTAACCCTAATGCTAACCCTAACCATATCAAATAGTGACCAGGGTACGTTCCGGCAGTACCCTGGGGGACATAGACCCTATCAGCGCCAGTCATACATATATGCCATTGGCAGTTCAATTATCATCGTCCCTCAATACATTATTAAAACATATATTTTACAGCACTACAAAGTCCAAACTAACATACAAGTGTACATCGACCGTTGCTATGGCTCATAGGGTCTATGTCCCCCAGGGTACTGCCGGAACGTACCCTGGGTACGGTTCGGTATACCGGAACGTACCCTGGTAACTATTTGATATGGTTAGGGTTAGGGTTAGGCTTAGGGTTAGGGTTAGGGTTAGCTCCAAGAAACGGTATCGCTAGGGTTAGGATACCGTTTCAAACCGTGGCTGCAGCTAAACACGTAGTTGCCTTATATTCCAAGTATCGCCAAAGAACACCACACATGTGATATACCAAATGAATCAGTAAACGTCCACCTTCTTGTAACCATCAGTGCGTGAGCGCCATCGCGCGGCTATTGTGTATTGATTAATTAATTGTATTACGTTGAAGTTGTGTACTTATGTTGCACTTATTACCATCACCACTATATTACAACATTTATGTTTTTTTATAGGCCGTGGCTACGCGACC